GTAGGGGGTTGAAATTTGCACACCTTATAGGTGACAGAGCGGGTCAGCGCCTTTTCTGGGTTCCGACTCGCTGGGGTGCACGGTTTGCGCGTGGGGCGCGCTGGAAGAACGCCAATGAAATTTTGCTCGGTTCGTAGATCTTCACTGAGAGCCGGGGTCGACAAACTTTGTGGACTAAATGCATGCCGATCGGTGGCGGGTGCCTCGCATTGGCGGATCGGCAAGTTATTAATTTGAATAAAAAGTGGCCAGAGAATGTGTTGATTTTCGTTCAATGGAAACAGTTTGTGATACGAGTTTACAAATGCACCGCGTTTGTCGCAGTGCGCCACAATTATCTCAGGGCGTCATTTTTGCCGCAAATCGCACAGTTTTGTCAAATATAGTCCGATATGGGTACAATTTGGTGCCAGGATGCATACTCAGCCAACAGGTTCAGATGCGCCGCGTTTGTCGCAATGCGCCACATATGCCACAAAGCGCCATTTCCGACAAAATCGAGTAAGGGCAATGGAATGGCACGAATTATTCTGTGATCTGACATGACCCAGCGGTGTTGGTTGGAGTAGGGGTAGTGGTAGGGGTAGGGGTAGTGTAGTGGTAGGGGTAGGGGTAGGGGTAGTGGTAGGAGTAGTAGTAGGGGTAGGGGTAGTGGTAGGGGTAGGAGTATGGGTAGTAGTAGTGGTAGGGGTAGATGTAGTGGTAGGGGTAGGGGTAGGGGTAGTGGTAGGGGTAGGGGTAGTGGTAGGGGTAGTGGTAGGGGTAGGGGTAGTGGTAGGGTAGGGGTAGTGGTAGGGGTAGTGGTAGGGGTAGGGGTAGTGGTGGAGACAAAAGCAGAACAGTGGCCCGGGCTGATCCCAGCGGACGAGAGGTGACCTATGTGACCTGGCCTGACCCAAGGTGACCGGGGCCGACCCCCTTGACCCGCCTCGACCCCGTATCACCCAAATTTCATCAAACAAAGCCCTCAGAGCAGTTCTTTTTTCAAAAATTTCTCTTTACATTTCCGTCCATATCTATGCTTCTAGACGACACATCGACATGAATCAAACACCATTCGAAAGCAAATTGGCTGGTGCCGCAATTTTTTCTACCACGCAGCAAAGCAAGTGGCGCAGCCGCTTGTCTATATTACTATTTGAGGTGACGTAGTTTCTGTCTGTAACCGAGGTCGCGACATGGTGCTACGTAGCGCGGGTTACAGGTCACACCGTTGCACCTACCGCGCTGAAGTTTGCGCTACTTATAGATCAAGGATGGACAACGTGCCTTTGATGGGTCTCAGCTCGATCGGATCGATAGCGAGCGCGTGGCGCGTGCCCAAAAAGTGCAAATTCGCGTCATAGACTTTACATGTATTAATCGGCTGGCAAAAACGGGCGAAAATGGCTAAATTTGCCCGACACGGGTCCGTTCCCCGTGCAATATCTCGGTAGCCGTGAGCCCGATCGGCACGGGGAAAACAGCATCGTGTAGAGAATCGAACGGGCAATCGAATAGTGTGCGGTGCAGGGGTGGCACGCGCCACGTGCAAGTGTGAGGGCAATTTCATTTCAAAAAGTGCCATTTTAAACGGATTTTGGATTTTATTTTATTTTCCCGTGACCATCAGACTGAGAGAGTTGAAACAACGTCAATTGGCAAGAGAAATGTACCGTCTCTCATGGAAAAATTGTGAACAGCTAATTGATCAAAAACAATGTGGAAAAAATCGCTGAATTAAATGGTATTTGTCCATAATGTGCCACTAAAAAGTTACACGGGATTTGCTGCTTAACCTGATACGCTTGACAATTGAAAATGCTATCATTAGAAAGAGCATTCAATTCTCTCCAAGATCCAATCATCACGTTTGCATGACAAGCAACAGTATTCTTAAAAATATAAATGTTTTAAACCTCTGCAAAACGATTTTTAGCGAAAATTATCTACGCCTTTCATTTGTCTTAAAACTACGCACCTCAATTATAAAGCACATTTGACAGATTTTGAAGTGGAAAGCATGCTTATCAGACACGGGCACCTCGATGCGGTGGATATTTTTTCCACAAACCAAAACGTTTAGCCGTCAAAAAGCAATCGACCGAAATGGATAGATAACCCAACCGACACAAGAACAACCGAACACCCGCCGATCGAAAATATCCCTTTTCGCGTTGCGGAGCACGCGGGTCACCCTAGTCAATAACTATTGCACTTTAAATCCGGTCTTTCTTAGCATTGTCAGACTATAATTCTGAATGCCGAACTTTTCTTAGGTGACACTGTTTTGCAGTCTTGCACGAAAATATGTTTTTAGGGAGGGCAGAACGCGGTCGATCTTTCCAGCAATAGTGACCAGATATATTTGGATCGACCTCACCTCTCACCAGCTGGAAGGAACGAAACACCCGGCCAAATGAAAATAACAGAGAAATCATCAGATGAAAGGACACCAGCTGATCTGATGAGAGCACACATCAGACACCAGACATTGGCTGGCGTGATTGCTAGTCGCTGC